TTTCATATCCTTTGAATATATACCCAGTAGTGGGTCTGCTGGATCATATGGTGGTTCTGTTCTTAAGTTTTTAGGGAACCTCCAAACTGTTTTCCACAATGATTATACTAATTTACACTCCCACCAGCAGTGTGTAAGTGTTCTCTTTTCTCTATATCGTCACTAACATTTTATTACCTTCCTGTATTTCTGCTATTCTAACAGATATTAAGTAATATCTCACTGTGGTTTTAATTTGAATTTCCCTGATGATGAATGACATTGAACATTTTTTTCACATGCTCATCATCATTTATATGTCTTCTTTTTTTTTTTTTTTGAGATGGAGTTTCACTCTCGCTACCCAGGCTGGAGTGCAATGGCGCAATCTCGGCTCACCGCAACCTCCGCCTCCTGGGTTCAGGCAATTCTCCTGCCTCAGCTCCCTGAGTAGCTGGGATTACAGGCACGCGCCACCATGCCCAGCTAATTTTTTGTATTTTTAGTAGAGACGGGGTTTCACCATGTTGACCAGGATGGTCTCGATCTCTTGACCTCATGATCCACCCGCCTCGGCCTCCCAAAGTGCTGGGATTACAGGCGTGAGCCACCGCGCATGGCTTATATGTCTTCTTTTGAGAAATGCCTATTAAGGTTCTTGGCCCATTTTTAAATTGGGTTATTTGTTTTCTTGCTATAGAATTGTTTGAATTCCTTATATATTTTGGATGTTAACCCCTTATCATTTGAATGGTTCTCAAATATATTCTCCCATTCTGTAGGTTGTCTCTTACTGGGAATTTTATATAGGGAATTTTATGATCAAATTTGCTGTTGGGGGTGAAATGGATTAGAGAGAATAAGTGAGGAAGAAATACCTAGGGACAGAGAGCCATTTCAGAACTATTATAACAATATCAGCAAAAATGGGCAGATCTTGGACTAAGAGCTGTGATTAAGTTTGGCAGATGAAATAAAGATATGTTAAGGAAGGAGAACTAAGCAGATATTCTGATCAATCAGATGTAGAGAATGAGGGACAGATAGGAGCTGACTGAAGTGGATAGGTGAACGGAGTCAGATTAAAGCAGGCCCTACTTAAAAGTCAGAAAAACAGGGACAAAGTATTTTATTCTGGTGAGACGTGAATGCTAGGCGGGTTCTCAGGGCTCTAGCCAAGTGATCTGGGATTCAGGGAATAATTGTAGTCCTTATAAAAAATTTGAATGTTTTTATCAGTTGAACTGTGTCTCCCAAAATTCTTCTGTTGAAGTCCTAGCCCCCACCACCTCAGAATGTGACTGCATTTGGAGACCTTTGGAGGTTTTAAAAGAGGTAGTTTAGACAAAACGAGGCCATTAGGATATTCACTAGAGTAGGTCCCGATCCAATATAGCTGGTGTCCTTACAAGAAGACATTAGGACACACAGCCACACACAGGGAAGACCACGTGAAGACACAGGAGAAGATGCTATCTACAAGCCGAGAAGAGAAAGAAACCTCAGGCAAAAGCATCCTTGTCAACAGTTTTGATCCCAGACTTCTACCCTGCAATTGTGAGAAAATATTTTTGTTGTTTAAGCTATCCAGACTGTGGCATTTTATTATGGCAGTCCATAATACAAATGTCAAGATGGGCCTAAGTTCTTTCAAACCACAGAAGGCACAAGCCATGCCAACTGGGTGCTAAATAATACAGCTCAGAAAGTAGGGAGGGCCACCAGGAACCCTTGGTTACTGATCTTCTGGCCAATAACTACTTCTCAATCCTAGCCTCTGGTAGAGATGGGGCTTCTAATATTCTTTCCAGTTTGATTCTTATTGACTCAAGTATGAAATCTCATTGATTTCAAGTTTCATTCTCATCTGTAGCAGAGCAGAGCTACAGATGAAAAAGTCTTTAATTCTGATGCTAAGAGGAGTCAGAAGCAACAGAGGCTGACTGACAATCTCAATTTCAAAAAATAACTAACTGGATATAAACATATAGCACAATAGAATGTTAGATCCCGTCAGAATTGACTCAAAAATAATTAAGATATTTGTTTCTACTTGCACATTCCTTTGCCTTCACATACAATGAGAAATTCACTGTGGTTAAACTGTTCTTATTACCCTGGATTACTGCAAATTTCTCTGAACTGACTTTTCTGTTTCATTATTACCACTCTTAGTCCCCAATAATAAAGATCAAGGGCAGATCATTTTAGGCATGAACAGGCACATTGCCATGATTTTCTCATTTGTCTGTATATATTTGCCAAAAAAATGAATTATCTGAAAATCTTGACTCTTGGTCCTAATCTCCTAATCCAATTTCGAAAGGTAGTTTCTTCGTTTACAATTACTCCCACATTCATCCTTTTATATTTTTATGTATCCCAGTTTAGGCTCTTTTCAGATCTTACCAAAACCAGCGCAATAGCCTCCTTACTTTTCTGCTTGCCTTTTAGCTCTTTCCTCGCTACCTAAATCCATCCTGCACAAAACTTGTATAAAACACATTTAGAAAATTTTGACCACAATGCTCCTTTCCTGTATGTTAACCTCCAATAGAGTCTTGTTGCTTATAGCAACACATTCAAACACACCTCTGTCTAATGTTTAAGGATGTGGGAGTCTGGCCTTTTCTAGCCAATGCATAATTGCCCTAGCTTCCCAAATCCTCAAATGCATTCAAGTGGTTTCAAGCATTGCCCTCCATATGCCTGCCACACAGCGCAGTGCTTCCCAACCCTGTGCTTTTGTTCATATGGTTCCATTCCTTAACCTGCATCTCTGCCATGCTCCACCATGCTCCTTTAAGAACAGTTCAAATCCCAGATAATTTTGATCTCATTTTTCTCCTAGCACCATGTGCCTATTTTTCTGTCTGCTCATTCTGCCTATCTTTCAAGGCCAAGCATAACTTGTAACTTATCTCTGAAGTCTTTCCTAACCATTCCAGCCTTCAATTTTTTGAGAAAGGCCTCTGTGGGGTCACGAGTGACCAGACATTGAGCTCTAGGGATCACAGTTGGGTAAGACACTGTTCTTAATTTCCAGGATGATGTCCTCTCCTATTTCCTTGAGTTTCTATTGCAATTACTACCCAAATAATTGTCTACTAATAAGGTGATGCCTCAGGAAATTTCTTGTTTTTAATTGCCAATTACATTTGCTTAACTTAAAAAAGGATGTATCTTCCCTAGTTAGGTTGTGAAGATTCAGTTTTCCCCCAAAGTATCTAGTTTAACATGGGAGTAGAGAGCTATGCTATTATGTATTGGGTATTGGGCTATTATTTTTGCTAGTGCTTCTCCCAGTGTGATATGGTTTGTAGTTCATTTTATGGGACACACAAAACCCACGATTTTACAGATACTGTTGCTGAGGATAAGGCCAAGTAGTGCCTATGTAAGTGTTTTTAAAAAGTAAGTGGATTTAAAAACAAATGTTAAACAGGAATGTTTCAAGTGATAGCCATGGCAAAAATGGTAGAGGTGGCCCTTTAATATCTTTCAAATGTATTATATGATGTCACATTTATTCCTCAGAACAACCTTGCAAATTAGAAACCGAAGTCCAGAAAAATGATAGAACTTATTCAAGTCACTAAGATAACAGGTCATGCTACAGGCTTCAAGTGAAAAAAAGCCAGGTCTTTCTGACTGAAGCTCTTCAGACTTTCCCTCTTTACCTTAATACCCTTTTGCGTATAGAAAGATTTAGTTTAATCTAATACTTCAATAGAGGTGTCTGACCTGTGTTTTAATACTCGATATTCTCAAAAAGATTTGCTTTGGCTTTCTAAATCAAATCCTTCACCTTCAGGACGATTAAAGAGGCACACCAGAGTCATGTTGGTGTATTTCTAAGCACATTTACAAAACATACAAGGAAAAGGACCTGATTCCCCGGCTGGGTGAGTGAAACGTTAATTCTTCACCTTGGCACCTCAACCTACAGCTGTAATAAGGGCCGTTATGCCCAAATAGGCCCTTAAACGGAAGACCTGCTGAGCAGAGACCCACTTTTCCAGCCCTGCTCAACTGCCTCAGCTTTTCTGCCAACTGACCAGGCGGAAGCAGCAGCAGGGGAGGAGGGACTGCAGGTAGGTGGGGAGGGGATCATTTTGAAAGCCCTAAATCCCTTGCAGGGAAGAAGCAGCTGCTCCTTGTTTTTCTAAACATCTGTCCCATCTGTCCCAGGCCGCACCTCATAACTTCGGTGGCTCGAGACAGTTAAACATGAATTTGACAAGGAAGCACTTCTGAAGGCTGGTTTGTGAGTGGAAATGAACTTAAGTGCCACCTAGAAAGTTTCTTCTACTGAGAAGAGGTTAGTAGGGGGTCTTCAGCGGGGCGGCTATTACCTTCCTTTATTTTACTCTCACAAAACATACAGCTTTTACGGTAGAGGCGGTATTTGTAACATCACCCAAATCAGACTGTACGCCCTGAGGACATTATTTTACAACATCGAGGTACTTCTAGAGCCCACATTTTAACCTCTAGGAGAGCCGCAGTCTTTGATTCGAAGGAGAAATGATATTGCACAGACCATACCACCTTTATGGAGAACAAGCTGTGCACACCTAGCGTGTGTGGCGTTTATCACATTTAACAGCGTGTTGCTTTTATTTGTCTCCTCCGCCACACTGCTCTTTGAGAACAGGGACGTTATCTTTCTGGTTATTTTCCTCTCGCATTCAGAACCGTGGCTGGAATTTGGCAGCCATGGAACAGACATTTATGAATGAATGAATGTTACTGAAGAAAAAATAAAGGAACTGAATGATTCATTTGGTTCTCCGAAGGCGGGTTTGGGGGGCGGGGCTCGGACTTGGACCCAGTTACCGAGTGAGGCGCAGTCCCAAAGTCCTGCAGCTCCAGCTCCAGTCACCGCAGACTCACGTCAGCAACCGGTGCTCGGGCCTCACCAAGCGAGGCTGCGCGCGTCCTGCGCGGTCCCGCCCCGAAGGAGCGCAGCCACGCCCCCCTCATTGGTCATTCCCTCTGCGAAGTCAGTTCCACTCGTTACAGGATTGGGGCGGGGCCAGGGGAGCGCAGGCGCAACGGGCGACGGAAGTAAAAACCTGGGAAGGAAAAGGGAAAGGGGCCTGTTGGTGCTTTGCAAAGGGCGCCGCGTTTCTGCCGCGGGAAGCTCACGGAGGTCGCTCGTGCGTCCGAGCTCAAACCCCTCCCCTCTCCTCCCCTCCCCTCCTCGCTTGCCCTCGGAGCCGCTAAGCGGCTGCCTTCCTCACTGCCCGCCGAGATGGCGCTTGACCCCGCAGGTACCGGGCGGGAAGCGGGGTTTGCCAGGGGGCCTCAACCCGGGTCTCACGCCAGGGGCCGTAGGGGTTGGAGGCCGACTTGGGAAAGGTGCAGAGCTCTGGGTGGCACTGCTTCCCCCAGCGTCTCCTCAGGCTGCTTCACCCGGTCTTACGTCATCTTCTCATTTGTTGGGGGTTATGGTTAGCTGAGGTTGCGTTTGATGTCTAAACTCTAGTCCATTGTGGTTTCCTAGTTAACGCTACTAGTCTCTTTATTGTCACCCTCTTTTTCGCCCCTTAAGGGCACAGACTCATTTAATGTCTGGTGCAGACAGTCTGGCCCCAGAAAAATTTGCGTATTCGTTCTAGCGCTCAGTTTTACATTTCTGTTTAGGAGTTCATCCTTGTAACTCAACTTAAAAACACATTTCAAAGGATCCAACACTGGCAGGAGTCAGGTTTTTGAGAGAGATCTTCAAAGTCTTGAATGTTGTTTTAATTTCCTTGCTTCCAGCCACTTCCGTTTACAGCAGTAGTTTAATTTCCCTGGATTTCCCATCCTTATGGAGGGTCACCTGCAGTATCTTTGTTTTAGGCTATTGTTGCGAGGGTATAGATAGCATTTTTGAAGGGAATGGTAGTTGGTTTAGTACATTTCTACAAAAAGTCAAAACACAGAGACTTGAAATGGCATCAAACCTTGGGAGATTGAGAAATGGAAAATGCTCTTTCGGAGACTTCAAGAAGCATGAAAAATAGGTGTAGCACAGAAATAATGTTTAAATTGAACACGTTATTACCAAGCTAAATGTTCTCAATTATCCACCAATAGTATGTGGTGTGGTAGGTCCTTTTATCTCCATTTTACAGATTATGAAACTGAAGCGAAGAGAAGTGACTGGTTCAAGTGGGTAGTGGTAGATCAGAGAGTACTCTAATTTGAAGCATAGGGGAATTCTAAAACATAATGATCGTATTCATTTTGGACTGTGTGATTATAAAGCAGTTAGCAGTTGATCCGGGCTTTGAAGGATAGAATTTCCAGTGGTTGGAGCTGAAGAAGAGGCAGCCCCATGAGCACAGATGTCGAGTTGGTAAAGTGCATTGTGGGATGCTTGGTTTCAGGATGAATACTATGATTTGGTTCTTGAGAGTAGAAGGAGTGTCAGTGAGGGGTGGGTAAGGTAGGTTCAGGTTTAGGCCCATAGAATTTATGGCATTTCTTATTTTTTTTTATTTTTTTGTTACTGAGACAGAGCTTCACTCTGTCATCCAAGCTGGAGTGCAGTGGCAGGATCTTGGCTCACTGCAACCTCCGCTTCCTAGGTTCAAGCAATTCTCCCACCTCAGCCTCCCCAGTAGCTGTGATTACAGGTGAGTGCCACCGCTCTCAGCTAATTTTTGTATTTTTAGTAGAGGTGGGGTCTCACCCTGTTGGCCAGGTTGGTCTGGAACTCCTGACTTCAAGTGATCCGCCTGCCTCGGCCTCCCAAAGTGCTGGGATCACAGGTGTGAGCTACTGCACCCAGCCTAATTATGGTGTTTCTGAACTTGAAGTGATTGTCAAAGAAATCTCATATAGATGAGGAGACTGAGACAGAGAGAGGTTAAAGATTTCCATATAATTTTTGAATTTAGACAAGGAAATTTGGAAAAAAACAATCTTCATACTTGCTGTCTTCACTTGCTTACCTTCCAGTTATTTATAAGCCACTCCAATCTTGTATTGTACCCAATGCCAGACAGCTAGCTGCTGGTAGAGCCAAGTCTGCATAAAACTTAGGTAATTTCATTTCCAGTCCAGCACTGTAGACCATGCCACCTTTTGAGTGTTTGTTGATTAAACAAATAACTTGTTGAGTGCCTGGCATGTGTCCCATATTGTTCTGGGCCCTAGGGAACAGTAATATATAGGACAAACAAAATCCCTGCTCCCAATCTAGTGGTAGAAAAAGACAATTAATAGCCCAGTCCCACTCTACACAGATGTGTGTGTGGACACGTGCGCGTGTGCACACACATGCACACACTTTTACAGATTGTGATAAAAATGAAGAAAATAAGCAATGTCATGTTGTAGATGGTGAAGATATTAGTCAGTGAAGAGCTTTGTGCAGGGGTGACATCTGTATTGAAAACTGAGGGATGAGTGGAAGCTAGGCAGAGTGTGCAAGGCCATCAGGAAGCAAATACTGAAAATATTTAACTTGAATGTGGGTTATAGTGTGGAAGGGATCCATGAGGAAAGATATTGGGAAAGTAGGTAGTAGGTAAACGCCTAGATATGGCAGAGGCTGCAAGGCCTCGAAGGCCAGCTGTGATAATAAAGCATTTGGATTTTTTTCTAAAGCCATCAGATGCCTTTGGAGTCTTAAAGAGGGCAGTAACGTAATTTGTGTGTTTATTACCCTGGCTACAGTGGTAGCATGCATTGCAGAGGGATCAGATCATAAGTGGAAGAAAAGAGACAGGTTAAGATATGGGAGCAGTAGTCCAGGCCAAATATATTTGTGTCTTGGCCAAGATGGTATTAGAAAATGGAAAGAAATATATAGCATCATGAGGAGAAACTGACAGGACTTGCTGTTGCACTGAATAAGGATGGTGAGAGAAAGAAAGGAAATAGCAGGTGGGCACAGTGGCTCATATCCATAATCCCAGCACTTTGGAGACTGAGGCAGGCAGATCTCCTGAGCTCAGGAGTTCAAGACCACTTTGGGAAACATGGTAAAACCCCATCTCCACTGAAATACAAAAAATTAGCCAGTCGTGGTGGTGCGTGCCTGTAGTCCTACCTACTTGGTACGCTGAGGCATGAGAATCGCTTGAGCCTGGAAGGCAGAGGTTGCAGTGAACCAAGATTGCACTACTGCACTCCAGCTTGGGCTACAGAGTGAGTGTCTCAAAAAAAGAAAAAAAAAAAAAGAGAAAGAGAGGAAATAAGGATAATTTTAGTTTTTTTACATCAGCAACTGAGTGGAAGGTCATGGTTAAATCTAACATGGAAACTTCAACAAAGGAAGGAATGGAAGCAATGGAAAGTAAAAAAGTAGAGTCAGCAAGTAGGAAGATTTTTTTTCCTAAATTGTTTTGTCTAAATTCCAGAATAAAATGCATGGAAACCTGGTTTTTTTGTTTGTAATTTCGTGTTTATCTGGTTCATACATTGAAGCTTAGGTTCACATTTTGATGTTTTTCTGCTTTGTATGGCCCACGATGCTATTTGCCCATATTGAATAAATGAATAATAGATACACCAAATGAGGTTTATTTAGCAAAATCTGTTTTCCCATTGGTTTATTTTGCATTTTTTTGTGATCTTAACAGAAGCTCGATTTTCATTTGGCAGCAACTTTTAATTAACTTTTAAGGGTCTGTTTTCCTGAAGAAACTGAAGCCAACAATGAAATGCAGATTATATACTTACATATAGTTTTATTTACACTATTTTTGTTAGTGTAGCGGTAAAAACAGCACTCTTAGCTTACTGCCATGTTCCACATAAATTTTCAGACATGATTATATTCTCAGATGATGGCCCATAGTAACCTGCACCTGATAAATTTGATTTTTCCCTTTCTCTATCAACTAGAAGTATTTCCTTTCTCTTTTCTTTGACTTTTCTCCTTATAAGTAAGGTTCTCTTCCCTCTGCCACCATGGATTCATTCTCTACTTATACAGGATGGGGCATGGCACCCTAAGGGAATTTTCCTTAATCAGGTGTATGTGTGTCCCTGTGTCCTTCTATTGCTGTTTTCCTTCAGAAACCTAATAAGAGGAGGAAGATGGGACAGAGATACGGTTTAGGGGGTGGAAAGTGGGGTCAGGAATTTCATGACATTGCATGAGAAGGTGTTTAAAGTATGTTTGTCTTCCAGGATTTCATTATGGATGCTCTGGGGTATTTGGGTTGCAGTACTCCAAGTTGCGGTTCTTTTAGTGGTTCCTGTGGGGATGTAGATAAATTAGCTTTAGGGGTACTGGCACAGTACTAGCACTTAACATTTACTAGAAAATTTTACTTTCTGAGTTAGACATCTAAACAAACTTGAAGAATCTCTTTTGAGCATTGTGTGTTTAATATGTAAAAGGTTGTAGAGTTGATTAGAAATTTTTTTTTTAATTTTTAAATTTCTTTTTAGTGATAGGGTTTTGCCATGTTGCCCAGGCTGGTCTTCAACTCCTGGGCTCAAGGGCCCACCTTGGTCTCAAAGTGCTGGGTTTATAGGCATAAGCCACTTTGCCCGGCCAACTAGAAAAATTTTGATTTTATTATTGCTGCTGTATCTCTAGAGTATCTTAGACATAAGTTACATTGGTGGCACAGAACAAAAGAAAAAAGACTTGTTTAGTGTCTACATTTTGTATATTTATAAATTAAAAGTGTATTTGCCATAGAAAATACATTGTTTTTGTCTCACTATATTTTTGTCTCACTAGATTAATTTAACAACTCTCTAATGGTTCTCTGTGAAATTTGAAAAACACTGCCTTAAGCAAAGACCGTAAGAAAGAAGAATTGAGATCAAAGAGGAGTATGTGGCATAGCAGTGGGGTGGGGGTGGGGATTTCAGTTATGAAACATGAAATGACCTGTAAACCGTTTCAAGGATTTTGAATTTTATACTAAGAACAATGGGAAGGTACTGCAGGTTTTTAGGGAAGGGAGTGACAAATAGAACGTTCCTCATTTTCTGTTGATCTGACTTTTGTTTAGATTAAAAATGACCTTGATCTCAGCCAAATACTGTATGCCTGATGTGTCTTTCTCAGAGTATCCCATCTGGAGGCACATGGTATCTGTCTCTCATAGGTGATGTGAGTTTTGATTACCCACTCAAGGTTTTGCCTTGTTTTATTGCCATATTTTCCCTGTTTTGCAATTAATAACTAATCTGTGGGAAGATTAAGACCTTGTAAATATTTGCTTCTCATCAACTATTTTCCTTTGATTTAGGGTCCATCAATGTTTTTTACTTGATTCAGTCTTTTCATAATGGTTGCAAAATAATGATTTTC